ACTATGCACACTCTGCACTTTTACATTGTGAAGCATTGTGATAATTTAGTAGATATTGTATTGTAATTATCACTGCCTTGTTAGTGTGCAGCCATATTATAGTTAAAATAGCCAGCAGTCTCAGAGTGGTGCAGAACCACATACATAATGGATAAAATTAAGGGGGAAAAAAAGAGGAAAGAGGAGGCATTTCCAAGAAATTCACAAATGTGTTAAAGCAATGGCTGTGCTACCAATGGAATTTGTAAAGATTGGTATGCAGAATCAGTCTTTGCAGATGTAAATTTCCTCTTTTAATATGAGCTAAAGCTCATGGAAACCATTTCCTGATGGAAAAAAGATCTCTTTATGGGAATGGCTGCTGAACCAAACAGCCCTGCATTTTGGTGAAAGACTACAGGGCTGTGCGTGAGTCAGGAGCTAATTCTACCATCAGAGGCTTTTTCTGAATGTTGACAATATATCTTCAGCTTTCAGTTTAGGGGTTTGGAACCAATCTGGTAAAGAGCGTAGAGATGGACACCTTGCTGCATCCCTCTCCTAGAAGATCAGTGTAAGCCTAAGGTCAGCTGATGGTATTCAAACCATTAAGAGGGCCTCACTGAATGGAGGGAGTTGTAAACAAGTGCTTTGGACCCTTTGTTGTTGGTTGAGAGGGCAGAGATTATACTTCAGAACTGTATAAAACTTAGCTCAGATTTTAAATCTGCTGCTTATTTACTGTGCAAAATCAAACTAAAAGGAAAATATCCTCTCTGAAATGTCATTTCCTCCTTGATAAAATTAATATGGTTATTTTGAGAATTTCCTATAACATACATGAAACACATAGATCCTGGAGGTAACATCTGTTTATACTATCAGTAAGTGGAAGAGAGAACAGAAAGTCTCTCGAGAATAGAAATTGTCCCATTTTGTGGCTACAGAACAGAGCTAAGGACCTGACATTTGTGATTTAATCTCTCACAAAGTGGAGTTAGGTAAGGAGCTTTGAATTCTGCTTCTAACCTTTGCTAGTTGGGCACGTTGCTTGATTTCTTTGTCTAAGATTCCTCATCTTTGAATAATGATGGAGTATATTCCGGGGGACTTTGAGGGAGAGTAAACTGAAAGGATGAGGGTGACACGGTAAGCACTCAGTGATAGTAGTCACACTTAGGCGCTTTTTCATAGTTAGAGCAGAGAAGATCAATGCTACTTTCTACCCAAAGAACAAGATTTGTTACAGTGTTAGAATACCTAATTGTAAACTTTTCTTTGGATAATACTTGACTAATACAGTTGCCTCTTATGGGCCCAATTTGTCAAATGCTTATATTATCCAGTCACTGAAATTTACATTCATAAACTAATTTATGCAAATTAAACATCTGAAACAGAAAAGTAAATTAATTGTATGGGAAATCATAGCCTTTTCTTTGTCAATTGCTAGGTAGAAATGATAGTGTCAGGAATAGTCACATGTTTAAAATAGGCACCACAGTAATTCATTTAATATAAAATGTCATCAGAAGGGATTACGGTCAATCCACTATAGAATAGGTCTTCAGTCCCACTCTATTAAAATATATTTTTTTTAATTTTAGGAACATCAATATGAGTAAAAGTTGGAAAAGGGAAACTAAATTTGAGGTATCAAAAACTGACTTGCTAGGGGATTAACTCAGTGGCTCTGGCACCTGCCTTGCAAGTGCAAGGGCCAAGTTTAATACCCAATACCAAAAAAAAAAAAAAAAAAAAAAAAAAAAA